AAAATTGTTAAATGAGATTATGTGAGTCTCTAGCAATGTGGATGTATCTCATCAAATATTATATTAAAAAATTTAGCATAATTTTGTTTTTTTTGTTAACAGCTTAATTAAACTATATCGGCGCAGAAACCCAAACCAAAAAATTTTTTATCGTAGTTTAATTTATATAATTAAACAGTTAAACTTAAGGTATCAAAAAGTTTAAACCAATTTAGATGAGTATCTCAACAAATCAAAGTTTTTCAAATGAGAGACTCTAATAATTCTCTTTCTCACTTTTTCTTATTTTTATTATTTGCTTAATTTGAGATACCCTTTAAGAAACTTCCAAATGGAGGTGTTCTTACAAATCAGATCATGTAGCTAACAAAAAAAAAACAGAGATAACCAGACCAAGTATCGGCATACATACTTAGACTTAACTTGCTTTTTTTATAGATCAATTGATCTTGCATAAAATAGATAGTTGGAGATAAATTACGGAGACTTGATTTCTTTGGAGACTTAAGATCACTATTAGCAACACTTGCTTGTACAAGATTGTTGAGTTTGAGATAAATTACGACCCAACCTTTTAGACGGATTGTTCCGTATTGAAGAAAAGCTTTAAGCTACTAATGGAGAACACGAACAGCGCTAAAAATGAAAAAATTTAAGGACATTTCTCTTTATATCCGAAATGGTTCGATTTATGGGAGAATATATACTTAGGACTTTCGTTGGAGATTTCAACTAAGGCAGTAATTAAGAACTATGATGGGAGATTTCTGATAAGTAAGTTGGCACTATATAAAAGAAAATCTTGATGCTAGAAATTTTGAAAGACGTTTCTGTGGCATACATATTGAAAACGTCTCGGTTGATAAATAAATAGTTTTTTTTTTGCTTTGGTAGTCTTTTCGTTTAGAACATTATTTCGTAAATAATCAATAAGGTAGAAAATGTCAAAGTACAATTATCGTTAAAGCGGATTGCAAACCATTTGTTCAGTATAGAGTCATGAAAAAGCTTGAAGTCAATGGAGTAAATGATCATATTCATTCTCCTTTACAAAAATTCAATGTTCTTACAAAGCATCATTATCGGTGAGAGAGAAATCAACGAAGCCTATTTTATATTTGGCTTGTGTAAGAGAAATTATTGTACTAAGGTACCAAAAAAGGCAAAAGGTTATAAAACCTAATTTTCTCAAGAAATTATATATCTCTAAATATTATATATATTAAAATAAACTTTGATCCATTGATAATACACTCACAAAAACAAAATTATAATGTAAAACCTAATCATTTGCCCAAATTCTAGTGGATTTGATTAAACCACATAGGCTAATTAATTTTAGTTAGCTGGTTAATTTTTTTTTGTTATTCTTACAATTCACCCTTCATAATAATGTACTATATTTGTGACAAAATAAAATAAAATAATGTACTACATATAGAGTAACGACCCATAATGTAGGCAAACAAATTATCTGAAATCTATTTTTTCCTTGTCCTCGAATCCTGCTACTTAATCATCTAGCCATTACAAATTACATACATTCACATGTCTCGGTAAACAAATGCTAAATTTCAGTGATGGGTTATAGAGAGACAGTAGAAGGAAAGGACACATGAAAGATCATACATAAAAAGAGAAGCAGTGAAATACACAAAGAACAATGGGAGATATTATTTATTATTTGCTTTAATATTAAAAAAAGACAGTAAAAGATCACACATGAAAAATAAGAGTTTCTCTAAATGTGTCGTAACTAAAATTCAACTATATAATTAGCTAAAGGATGACTCTTCTTCAATCCTCCTTAGGATTTGATTCACAGCTGCTGCAATATCTTCCACTGTATTCAATTGGCTCCCTTCTTCAACCTGAAATCAACCCATTTTTTTAATTAAATTAAAAAGAATCAAAGAAACCTTTTACATTACAAAATTACATGAAAAGGTTGATGTAGTAAGAAAAAGTAGTGAAAAATAATGAAAGATAATAATGTATATATTTGAAGGAAGAGGCTTATGAATGTGTCCTGAAACAAGTGGCGTCATTTCGTTCTGCCGTGCACAGTGCATCCACAGTTCTGTGACCACCAAAAAATCCACAGTACACATAGATACATACATATACACGTTTACACATTTATAGGCAGATGTCATCTTTTTGGTCCCTGATGCTTACAAGAATCATTATTATGATATTCCAATTTTTGTTTTTTTTTAATAAATATGAAATGATGATTTTGACTCGCCAATAATTGAGGCCAACCCTAACAGAGTT